AAGGATGTTGAACATTTCTTTAAGTGTTTCTCAGCCACTTGAGATTCCTCTTTTGAGAATTCTCTGTTTACATCTATAACCCATTTTTAATTGGATTATTTGTTTTTTCACATTTAGTTTCTTGAGTTCATTATATATTTTGGACATTAGTCCTCTGTAGTATGCGGAGTTGGTGAAAATATTTTCCTCTTCTGTGTAGGCTGCCATTTTGTCTGATTTGTCTGGTGTTCTGTTCAGGAACTAGTCTCCTGTGCCAGTTTGTTCAAGGCTGTTCCCCACTTTCTCTTCTGTCAGGTTCAGCGTATCTGGTTTTATGTTGAGGTCTTTGATCCACTTGGACTTGAGTGTTGTGCAGGGTTATAAGAATGGATCCATTTGCATTCTTCCACATGCAGACATCCAGTCTGAGCAGCACCATTTGCTGATATGCTGCTGTCTTTTTTCCAGTGGATATTTGTGGCTTTATCAAAAATTAAATGTCCATAATTTATGGGTTTATGTCTGGGTCTTCAACTCAATTCCATTGGCCAAAATATCTGTTTTAATGCCAATGCCATTCAGTTTTTATTACTATAGCTCTGTAGTATAACTTGAAATCAGAGATGGTGACACCTCCAGGAGTTCTTTGATTGTTCAGGATTGTTTTAGCTATTTAGGGTTATCATATATAGTTGAGACATGTCCTTTCAAGGTCTGTAAAGAATTACATTGGAATTTTGATGGGGACTGCATCGAGTCCGTAGATTATTTTTGGTAGGATGGCCATTTTTACTATGTTGATCCTACCAATCCATGAGCATGGGAGATCTTTCCATTTTATGATATCTTCCTCAATTTCTTTCTTCAAAGGCTTGAAGTTTTTGTCATACAAGTCTTTCACTTGCTTGGTTAGAGTTACCCCAAGATGTTTTATATTATTTGAGGGTATTTCCCTGATTTCTTCTCAGTCCATTTATCATTTGTAAATAGGAGGGATGCTGATTCCTTTTAGTTAATCTTGTATCCAGCCACTTTGCTGAAAGCTATAGGATTTCCCTGGTGGAATTTTTGGGGTCGTTTATATATACTATCATATCATCTGAAAATACCAATACTTTGACTTCTTCCTTTGCAGTTTGTATCTCTTTCTTCAGTTGTCTTCTTACTCTAGCTAGAACTTCAAGTACTATATTGAATAGATATAGAGAGAGTGGACAGCTTTGTCTTGTTCCTGATTTTAGTGGAATTGCTTTGAGTTTCTCTCCATTTAATTTGATGGAGGCTATAGGCTTGCTATAAATTGTGTTAATTATGTTTATGCATGTCCCTTGTATCCCTAATCTCTCTAAGACTTTCATCATGAAGGGGTGTTGGATTTTGTCAAAGGCCTTTTCTGCATCTAATGAGATGATTTTTTTTTCTTTCAGTTTGTTTATATGGTGGATTACATTTACTGATTTTCTCTGGGATGAAGCCTACTTGGTCACAGTGAAAGATCTTTTTGATGTGTTCTTGGATTCCATTTGCAAGTATTTTTCAGTATTTTTGCATCTGTATTCATAAGGGAAATTGGTTTGTAATTTTCTTTGTTGAGTCTTTATCTGGTTTGGATATCAGAGTAACTGTAGCCTCATAAAATGAATTAGGCAATGTTCCTTCTGTTTCTATTTTGTGGAATAATTTGAAGAGTATTGGCATTAACTTTTTGTTTGTTTGGTTGGTTGGTTGGCTGTCCTGGAACTCACTCTATAGATCAGGCTGGCCTTGAACTCACAGAGATGTCTGATTGCTGCTGGGAATAAAGGTGTGTGCCACCACTACCCAGTGGCATTAATTCTTTTTTGAAAGAATGGTAGAATTCTGCACTAAAACTGTCTACCCTAGGCTTTATTTGGGGGGGGGGGTCTTGAGAGACTTTTAATGACCACTTCTATTTCATTAGGGGATATATGTCTACCAAAATTGTTTATCTGTTCTTGATTTAACTTTGGTAAGTGGTATCTATTGAGAAATTTATCCATTTCTTTTAGATTTTCCAATTTGGTGGAGTACAAGTTTTTTTGGGTTTGTTTGTTTGTTTGTGTTTGTTGTTGTTGTGTTTTGGGACAGGGTTTCTCTGTGTAGTTTTGGTGCCTGTCCTAGATCTTGCTCTGTAGGACAAGCTGGCCTGGAACTCACAGAGATCCTCCTGGCTCTGCCTCCTGAGTGCTGGGATTAAAGGTGTGAGCCACCACCACCCAGCCACAAGTTTTTAAAGTATGTCTTCATGATTCTCTGGATTTCCTTAGTGTCTGTTGTTATGTCTCCCTTTTTGTTTCTGATTTTGTTAATTTGGATGTTCTCTCTTCATCTTTTAGTTAGTTTGGGTAAGGGTTTGTCTATTTTTGTTGATTTTCTCAGAGAACTAACTCTTTATTTCATGATTCTTTATATTGTCCTCTTTGTTTCTATTTTTATTGATTTCATCACTTGATTTGAATATTCCTGCCTTCCACTCCTTTTGGGTGTGCTTACTTCTTTTTGTTCTAGAATTTTCAGGTGTGCTGTTAAGTCGCTAGTGTGAGATCTCTCTAATTTCTCCACGTAGCCACTTAGTGCTGTGAACTTCACTCTTGGCACCATTTCATTGTGTCCTGTAAGTTTGGGTATGCTGTACCTTCATTTTCATTGAGACCTAGAAAATCTTTAATTTCTTTCTTTATTTCTTCCTTGACACAGTGGTGATTCAGTAGAGAGTTGTTCAGTTTCTATGAGTTTGTAGGCTTTCTCTTATTTCTGTTGTTGATATCCAGTTTTAATCCTTGGTGCTCAGATAGGATATAAGGTGTTATCTCAGTTTTCTTGTATCTGTTGAGACTTGCTTTGTGTCCAAGTATATGGTCAATTTTGGAGAAAGCTCCATGAGGTGCTGAGAAGAAGATATATTCTTTTGTGTTTGGGTAAAAAGTTCTGTAAATATGTTAGGTCCATTACGGGTGGTTGTGAGCCACCATGTGATTGCTTAGAATTGAACTCAGGATCTCTGGAAGAGCAGCCAGTGCCCTTAACCACTGAGCCATCTCTCCAGCCCTCAAATTGTATATTTAAGAATATGCTCTACCATGTAAATCTCTCACTTCAATTTTTTAAGAACCAGGGCTGGATATGTAGTCAATGGCAAATCACTTGCCTAGTATTCCTGGTTTCATCTCTGATAAAACAAAATAAAGTTGTTTAAAAAAAAAAAAAAAAAAAAAAAAAAAAACAAAGGGAAGAAAAACACAAGACAGTCAGTGGCTAAGTCCCACCTGCCTGTCAGCTTGTGGAAGATGCAGCCAGAAATGATACACACACACACACACACACACACACACACACACACACACACACACACACGCACACACACGCACACACTCATGCACACACACACACTTATTAAGGCGGTAGAATACACCTCAGACATCAATACTCCCTCCCTGCGGCCTCCCATGTGACAGTCTCCCTCGAAGGCCTGCCCGGGCTCCCAGGGTCTGTTCTTTCCACAGCCTGGAGGAGGAAGCGGCCGAGCAGCTGGTCACCATCAGCATTGAGCTGCTTGTCCATCAGCACCGCCAGCCAGCTCTGCTCTACTTGCACCCACCCACCAAATTTGGAAACTAGAAATAATTTTTTATAATATAATTCTTTATTGATTCTTTGGGAATTTCATATCATGCACCCCAATGCCACTCATCTCCCAGTCCCTCCATATCTGCCCCTCATCCCTGTAGAGTTCCTCCCAAAGAAAGAAAAATTAATTGAAAACAAACGAAACACTACCTTGCTCCTCCATCTTTCCCACACCTCTTCATCCATCCTGGTGGCATTGGGAGCTGAAGTGTGTCACACAGTACACCCTTTTGTCCAATCAGCCCTACCCGTAAATGTTCATTCCATGAGTCTCTGGTCTGCTTCAAGGCCTCTGGACTCTGGCACACCATCATCACAGAATCCTCCCCCAAACTCCTCTTGGAGATCCTGCTGTTGTCCCAAGTTATGCAGGACCAGTCACTTCATGAGCAGGTCATAGAATGGGGTAGATGTTAGGGTGGGCCAACCCAAGGCCCAGGATGTGAGCCTGGGTGGTAGCTGAGCTGGTCAGCCTGGGCCTCTGCCCCCCTCAGTCAAGGGACAGTTCCAGTTCTCCTATGCCCACGCTATGGGGCCAGTTCTCCTGCCCCAGGGGTGAGGGGTGGGGCCAGCTCTCCCATGAGAGGCGGGACCAGCTCTCCTGCTGCAGTGTCCAGCAAGGGGCAGGGCCAGCTATCCCAGGGCCAGTGAAGGGTGGGGCTGGCTCAGTATAGTCCTCAGATTTCCACATATAGGGTTCCTATGGCCCTCTGTGGTAACCCAGGCCATGGACATCAACACAGATCCTAGCTGCAATAGGACCACAGAACCAGACATGGCCCTTGGCAGCAGCTTAGGCCTGGACATTACCATGGCTGAGGTGGCAGTGCAGGCCACCCAGATCAGTACGGTCCCGAAAGAAGCGTGGTTCTCAGACACCAAGGTCTCAGGTGGCTGACCAGACCCTGGGCATCCACATGGCCCTCAGTGGCAACAGGTTCTATAGACATCAACTCAGACCCTGGCTGCTGTACAGCCATGGACCCAGACGTGGCCCTCATCTGCAGCCTGAGTGGTGTAGTGGGTAGCCATTCCAGCTTGGATCTGGAAGTTCCAACCCCCATTGAGACTCTGGCACATCCCTCACCACCTTAGCTTCTTCAGTTCTGCCTCTTTCCACAACACATGAACTGGTCTGCTTCTCTTTCTCCCCCATTTCTCCATCACATATTTGCTCATCATAATGGCACCTACCCATCCAACACTACCAGCAGGCCTGTGGATGCCTTCAGCCAGCCTGACTGTGGGGACCCAGGCGGGCCTCACAGTTATCCTTCTCCATATTTTCACCTGCCTTGGTTGAGTGGCACCAGGTGGGCCTGTGGATGCCTTCAGCCAGCCCAGACTGACTAGAAAGAATTTTTAAAGACTGATTATCCATTCCTTTTTATTGGTTTGTTTGTTGTTCCAGCTGATGTCATGGTAATTGACAGAAAAAGATGCCTGAATAATGTATTCTGAAGCCTCAGAGAATCACGCTGCTAAAAGATCAAGGATGAGAGGACCTGCCCACAAGTGACTGGTACAGCCTTGTTTCTCCTAAAAACGTAAGCAGCCATTGGCCTGAGGATGAGCAGGAGGGATCTTCCTCCACTAGAGAAAGCCCCATGAAAATCCCCCTGGACACAAAGTGCACAGCAAGACAACCACACATCCAGAAGTCTAACCTGCCCACTCGCCAACCACCTGTGTGCAAATAATCACAAACAAGGATGCTCACTGCGCTTCTTGATTGGATGCAGGTGTGAGGATGGAACTAAAGCTTCAGGTAGACTGTGGTTTCTCCAGAATGTTCCTCCAGTTCCTAATGAGATTGTTGTTCCTGACACTGGCAGATGTGTGAGACCTGGAATGACAAACATCATGAAGAGAGCTTACAGAGTGGGAGTTGGAGAGATAGAAGAGGTCAGGAAATTAGAAAGGGCATGGCAGAGATAGAATGCAGAGATAGAATAAGGGGTTACAGGGAAATAATGATACAGGAAGGGTTAAATGGGGTGGAGTGGAGAGACAGAAAGAGAGGCAGGAGAGGGAAGATGGGGGATAACTAACACTAAGACATTTTGAAAACGTCATATGGAAACCTGCTACTGTGGAAACTTCCTAAAACATAGAACACACACACACACACACACACACACACACACACACACCACACCCTACAATGGGCCAACAAAGCCCCTACAAGGTACCACAGGCTAACAAATAAAATACCCAGTACTAGGAATGCGTTACCTCTTTTGAAGTTCTTGGCAAGTAATGTCCCATAGACCCCCCCAAACATTTATATTATATTATATTATATTATATTATATTATATTATATTATATTATATTATATCATATCATATCATATCATATCATATATTTTATTTTATATTTATTATATTATATTACATTTATTACATTATATTATATTACATTACATTATATTATATTATATTATATTATATTATGTTATATTTATGGTATTATATTATGTATAATAATAATCTAGTTGCCCTCCAGAAGGTAAGACTCTGCTGCTGAAGACTCCACATATCTGAATCACAGAACAGAGAAATCAAGCTGGCACTCACCTGGAAGCTTCATCCCCACTGGCTAGCTTTTATAGTGCTGGGAGGTACTGTGCACACTCCCAGAGGAGAAACGTAATCATAATAGCACCTATTGGTCAGCTCTGAGGATATATACAACAGCAACCCACCTAGCAAGGCATGCCCACTGGTACAATACTGGTACAAATGTCACGGGAGTAACCAACCACTTTCTGATTGTATTCAAAGCCCACTCCACACTTTGAAACCCATTATTGGCACCCACAGCAGAGCCAAAAAAAAAAACTCTGTAGCTAGACAGGTCATACATAGTCCCTAGGGGAGAACCTACCACTCTTACTCTGCTAAATGAGCACAGTATTATACTAACTCCTAATGATTTATCACTATACCCAAAGATTAGTATCTCTCAACCCTCATCTCAGAAGCTTCTTTTTGCAGTAGATCAGTGATTAACACAGAAATGCACAATTGGTCATGGCGAAGTCAATAAAAGTCTGTGGAATGCTTGGCCCTAAATGTACATCACACACCTTCCTCCCAAGGGTCAGAGATCATTGCAAAAGAGAGACTAGAAAGACTGTAAGAGCCTGAGGATGCTGTGTAATAAGCCTTTTGTACACTGTAAGTATGTATTGCTCTCGTTGTTAATAAAAAGCTGATTGGGTGATAGCTGGGCAGGAAGAAATTGGGTGAGACAGCTTGAAACAGAGAGAACGCTGGTGTGAAGAAGGGCAGAGTCAGGAGAGATGCCAACCAGCTGCTGAGCAAGCAGAACATATGGAAAATAGGTAACAAGCCATGAGCCACATGGCAAAGTATAGATAAGAAATAAGAGTTCATTTAAATGTAAGTTAGCTAGTAACAAGCCTGAGCTATTGGCCAAGCATTTATAAGTAATATTAAGCCTCTGTGTTGGTTTTTTAAAAGTGGCTCCCTGGACAGGAAAACTCCACCTACATGAGGCAGTGAATGACTATAAGGAAAACAGTGTTTCCCAGACACACATGGACTGACAGCAGTTAAGACTGCATGCACAAAGTCTGCACAAGCTCAAGCCAGACTAAATCTCAGCATGAGGGGAGGAGGTGGGCGTTCCTCAATAAGGAGTTATTGGCAATTGATAGCTGCTGAAGCAATAGAGAGAGTCTGTTTCCTTTAAGGAAGGGTGTGGCCGCTGGTGGCTTGATCATGCTCCAGTGGAAAGTCATGCATTCAAGAGCATATGAGCAGCACATTAGACCTGATGGATATTTAAATAAGATACAACATTGGGTGTGTGGAAAAGGGAACCTTTGAGGAGTTGGTGGGGAGTGAATCCAAGAATACATTGTATGAATCTCTTAAAGAACTAAAACAAATGAGAAAAGGCAATCAGAGAAAACAGAACATGAGCTAGAAATGGGGGTGAAGTGTTGTTTTTGGAGAAGAGAGAAGAGGAAGGGCAGGAAAGAAAGAGGAGAAGAAAAGAGAAGAGCGGAGAAGGGGAGAGTGTTCTGGGATATTTATGTGTTAAATGATCTCACGGTGAGGGAGCAAGCAGACACAGGGAGGGGATGGACATGAGGGAAGCTGGACACGCTGCTCATGGCTGAAGCTGGGGAAGGGGAAGTCACTGAATTTATTCCTCTGTCTTCACATTTACTTGAAGTCCTCACTACGAAGAGCTGGCTTCTTGATGCTCCGGTTTGGTTTTGTGGAGGGAATGCTGTTTTGTTTTTGAGATAGGCTAGCCTGGAACTCACAGGTCGCCCAGGCTGAACTTGAACTCTTGATCCTCCCGCCTCCACCTCCCCAGTGCCGGATCTGCGTTCTTTTTGAAGAGCTCCTCCCTGTCTGCCTCTGCATGTCCACAGGCTGCTGCTCACTCAGCTCCTGTTGGGGCCCAGAGTGATGGCGCCAACCAAGGCTACGTGGTGAGGCCCAGCCTCAAATTCATTAATTAAAATTGTTAGTGCGTGTTTGTCTTCAGTTCTTCTTCCCTGTGGAACCTGAGAACTCCCCACATTCTCAAAAAAATGAGAGAGCTGGGCCTGAGGAAAGCCTCGGGAGCTGGCACCATTCCAGAGTCATTTAGTATTCATTTTTCTAAAACAGAAATTCTATTCTTGTGAGGCTAACCTGTGTGCACAAATGCAAAATCTCACCATTAGGACCAGCAAGCTGATGGCTCAGCAGGGAAAGGCGTTTCTCACTGACTCTGACGACCTACCTGAATCCAAATCCCCAGGACCCACACAGTAGGAGGAGGGAACCAACTCCTCCAAATTGTGTACCGTGTCACATGCCACATGCAAGTGCACATGCACACACACACACACACACACACACACACACACACACACACACACCAATTAAATGTAAATCTAAAAGTAAAAATTGCTGGGTGGGCATTAGTAACATACGCTTTTAATCCCAGCCCTTAGGAGGCAGAGGGTGGTGGATCTCTGTGAGCTCAAGGCTAGCCTGGACTACATAGTGAGTTACTGACGAGCCATAGCTACAAAGGGAGACCTTGTCTAAATAAATAAATAGTACAAATAAATTGGGGAGCTAGAAAGATGGTTCAGTGGTCAAGAGCACTGACTGCTCTTCCAGGGAACCTAGATTCAAGTCCCAGCACTCACAGGGTGGATCACGACTCTCTGTAACTCCAGTTCCAAGGGATGCCCTCTTCTGGCCTCTACCAGCTCTTCACACACATGCTACACAGACATTCATGCAGGCAAAACACCCATACATAAAATGAAAAATAAATTTCCAAAAAATTAAGTCCAAATTATACATTGAAGGCATGGGCTTGAAATCCCTGTGCACAGACACCCTGACAGCCTCCTACCAGAGTAGCTCAGGAAAGACACTGCACTGGGACCCAAGGCCAGGGTGGCGGCATGGGGCAGAAGCCATCTAAGGAGTTCTGTCGGGGTGGAGTGTACTCCGCCACACTGAGCTCAGGCGACTGTCTAGGAAGGCTGGCCCCGTCCCAGTTGCCCACCTGGGGAGTGCATTCTGGCTCAGCAATACTCCAGTCACTCCTGAGGCTGGGTCCCCCGCTTCTATCCTGTGTCATAAGTATGCACCAAGGCACCATGGATGCCCTCCCAGTGCGGAGGAGAGGAGTGGAGAAGATGCGACAGGACGGGAGCCTACCAACCCCAACCAACCCATGGCGCACTTCACCACGACTTAACTCGCAGACAGCACCACACAAAGCAGAGGCTGAGATATGAGGGAAACAGAAATCAAAACTGCTCTGAAGTTCCAGCTCGCCCCAGTCATCACGGCTGTTTCACAGCAACAGACAAATGCTGGTGTGGATGCAGCCTTTATGTGGAGCTGGTGGCAAGGCAAACTAGTACAGCCATTGTGGAAATCAGTATGACTGTTCCTGGAGAAACTAAAAATAGAACTAACACGTGATCCAGATGTATCCCTCCTGAGTGTTTATTCAAAGGACTCTACCTCAGCACACCACAGAGATACCTGCCCATCCTGGCTGCCACACATACACACACCTGTCAGCCATACCCGAAACTAGGGCTTGGAAAGTCCTCTGTTTGCTCAGCAAAACGTATAACTCTGCTTAATCTAATGGACTCCAGAAATCATCAAAGGATACTATTAAGCTTGAGCACCACCACGGGCCCTCCCTGCACACTCTCCTGAGAAAGAACAGAGGTTAATGAGGCTGGTGGTATCTGCTGAGTAAGTGCTGGCCACGCAAGTTTAGTGCCTTGAGGTGGAGTCCACAGATGGACCCAATTTGTCCGGGAATGCTAAGAAATGTGTTTACAGACAAGAAACCAAAGCTGCGGGCCTGTGGGAGTGGACAAGCATTCAGGCTTTCCAAAGTGTCACCCCCATACTTTGAAGATTTATCTTTGTGCGTGCGTGCGTGCGTGCGTGCGTGCGTGCGTGCGTGCGTGCGTGCGTGCGTGTGTGTGTGTGTGTGTGTGTGTGTGTGTGTAGGTGCCCATGGAGGCCTGAAGACAGTCTCAGATCCCTGAAGCGTGGCTTATATAGACAGGTGTGAGCTGACGAATGTGGGTGCTGGGAGCCAAACTCAGGTCCTCTGCAAGAGCAGTGAGGGCTTTTAATCGCTGAGACCTCTCTCCAGGCCCGAAACCCTATGTTTTGAAATCGCCCTTTTTAAATGTTTTAATTAAAAAAATGTATACAATCTATTTTGATCATGCTTTCCGTCCTCCAACTCCTCCTAGATACTCTCCACCACCTTAGCCTCCCAACTTCATGTGTCTGTCTCTGTCTCTCTCTCTGTGTCTCTGTCTGTCTGTCTGTCTCTCCCTCTATCTCAAGTAGCCTCTTAAACACTCTCTCACAATGGACCTAAACTCAAAGAAGAAAATGTTTGTACCCCATTTTATTTGCACACCCAGCTATGTATGGCTATATCTATCGTGTGCACTCAAATGTTTGTGGAATGATGAGAAAAAAGCAGATGCTCTGGGCGAGGGAGATGAATGGCCACCAAGTGTACTGACACCTGTGTGGGAAAAGGCCAGGACTAAACCCAGTACTTCATGTGCTGACCTTAAAATTTTATTTAAATAAAAGAAGTGGGGCTGGAGAGCTAGCTCAGCAGTTAAGAGCACTTGCTACCCTTGCAGAGGTCATGGGTTGCCTTCCCAATGCCCATGTCAGGAAACTCACTGCCTCTAACTGCAGCTCCACAAAGTCCACCCTCGGTCCTTGGTCCTGTCTTGGTAAGAGTCTGTCACAACTCTCTGACTCCTGGTTCTTTCCAGTTGCTAGCAGGCTGTGGATTTTAGCTCCTCTTACAAGCAGCCCGTTTCAGTTAGAAGGGCAAAGCATTCATTCTCCTCAGCATCACCCCACTCCGTCACCACCATCCCTGGGGCTCCTGGCACCCTTCCAAGTGCAGACTGGTGGAGTGCCCCTTGCTTTGGGGATTGAATTCATCAAGTAACAGCCAGTCCTTTCTGCATCTTGATGGACAGTGATGAGCAAACAAGTAGCTGGCATCCCTTCTGCAGAGTGAGGTTGACAGGTGCTGAGGTAGCATTGCCCCAAAGCACTGACGTCACCGTGGAAAGCATGGCCTCCTTGGTTGGGTATTTCCTCTTCAGAAGTCCCCTCAGGACACCTGTGGGCATCTGAAAGGGACATCAGGGTGACCAAGGACAGGCATGGTCTGTGCTCAAGGTTATGACTTCTTGTCACTGCCTGACAGTGACATCCATCTAGCTTGTTAGCAAGTTGAGCCTGCAGCTGAGTGAACACGATTAGATTATTCTCAGTCCCCAGGGATCAGTAACTGACTCTGGCCACATCATTCTGGCTCCCCTGGGCCACTGAGACTATCTGGGAGTTGTAACTGTAGCCTCAAGTGACGGTGACCAGCACAGTGTCCTAACCAGGGTGTCCTATCAAGCACAAAGGTGTTCTTCAAGATCATGACATTGGAGGTAAGAAGAAGCTGGGGAGCCCAAATAAAACCATCAGCCATAATTTAAAGGGATAGGAAAGACTTGGGAGGTGTCTCTGGTGCACTCCTGTAACTCCAGTCCTCAGGGGATGAGGTATGAGCAGATCCTGAGGCCTCACTGACCAGCTGGCCAGCCAAGCCAAATAGCAAACTCTAGGTCCAATGAGAAATACTGTCTCTAAAACTAAGAGGAGAAGTGATCGAGGAAGACACCTGAGCTCCACTTCTGGCCTCCACACATGCCCACATGACCACATGGTAGAAGGAGGGGACTTAGTTCTGCAAACTGTAACAGTAATACACACACACACACACACACACACACACACACACACACACACACGTTAATGAAATTGTTTTTTAAATAATTTGAAGAAAGGGTCTGGAAACTGTGGCAGTCTGTGAGAGTCCGCTCCAAAGGGTTCTTGAGTGGAGGAGAGAGGAATGAGGAAATATCAGATAGAAAGATAGACCTAGATGACAAGAAGAAAGACAGACACAGGACAGCTTTAGGAGGGTCTGGGTCAATACTCAACAGCCCAGAGCTTTATTCAAAAGGGCTTTTTATAATATGCCAAGGGGAGAGGCAAAAGACCTCCCCTTTGCAAGATCAAAGCACACCATTCAGCCAAGTATAGACCCTTCCAAAAACCTGGTAAACCTGTGGCCAAATCATCACACAGCCCTGCTGGGTAAAGCAAGCTCAGATTCTCTGACCCTGAGTAAGGCCTTAATAGGTAGCCTCTGTGGGCTCCCACAGGAAACATAGTTCAGCAATTAAGAATATATACTGCTCTTGCAGAGGACTGTAGTGGATAGCTGTTCTATGACCTTGAAGCACTACCCCTAGAGATGTAGCAGGTAACTGTCCTACCTACCTATGACCTTGAAGTACTGCCCCTGGGGTGTGGCCTCAGGGCTACCCTTAAGACCTGAGATACATGTATGCTGGTCTCTTCTCTCCCTTGTGGGCGTGGATGGCGGACTGACTCGGGACGGCGTGCGACAGTACCTCAGCATTCCAGGTCCCTGTGACAATTCCCCTATTCTGTTTTAGTGAGTTTTTCTTTCCTAATAAAGAAAAACTTTAAGCAGACTCCCATGGATTTATCAATATAGAGGGAGGACCCTAGTTGGGCTCCAAGCACCCACACTGGGTGGCTCACAACTGCCTGTTAACTCTAGCTCCAAGGGAGCTAATGCCCTCTTCTGGCCTCTGCAGGCAACTGCACTCCTGTGTTCATAGCCCCATTCAGACACAAAAGCAAAATCACATTATGAAAAGTAATTTTTAAAAAAGGAGTTTAAGCACTGGGCAGTAGTGGCACACAACCTTAAAAAATTCCAGCACTCAGGAGGCAGAGGCAGGTAGATTTCTGTGAGTTTGAGGCCATCCTGGTCTACAGAATGAATTCCAGAGCAGCCCAGGCTACACAGAGAAACCCTGTCTCCAAAAAAAAAAAAAAAAAGAAGAAGTAAAATAGGAGGCTGGAGAGATAGCTTATCAGTTTAGAGCATATACTGCCATAGCGACATGCCTGCGGCTACTCCCCAGTACCACATCAAGCAGCTCACAACAGCCTGTAACTCCAGATGCCCGTGGCTTCTGTGGGAACCTGCATGTACATACCCACACCAAACATACTCTGATGGCTATTCTTGGTTGTCAACTTGGCTACACGTGGAATGAACTACAATCCAGAAATGGAGGGCATACCTGTGAAAGACTTTTTGCTTGGCTTGAAGTGAGTGAATCCACTTTTAGTCCAGACCCTTTAGGTAGGAAGACACATGCCTTTGATTTGGATCTTGAGTGGGAAGACACAACTTTAACCAGGGCCACACCTTCTACTGGAAGTCTGTATAAGAACATAGAAGAAGGAAGGTTTTGCTTGTTGCCTGCTTGCCCTCACCTTGCCAGCACATCCATTCCTTCACTGGCATTGGAGCAGACTTCTTCAGGATTCCAGTGCACACTGAAGACCAGCTGAGACATCCAGCCTTGTGGACTGAGCAGCTACTGTAATCCTGGACTTTTGTTTCACAGCCAGCCATTGTTGGATTAGATTAGCTGGACTGAAGCCTGTAAGTCATTTCAATAAATCCCATATATATAGGGATTGTTCTCTGACCTCCATGCGCAGAGAGAGAGAGAGAGAGAGAGAGAGAGAGAGAGAGAGAGAGAGAGAGAGAGAGAGAGAGAGAGATAGATTATAAAAATAAAGTATAAGCCTAGAAAGACAGCTCAATAGTAAGGGTGCTTGCCACCAAGCCTGACAACTTGAGTTAAATCTTAGGCTCCTCATATAATGGAAGGAGAAAAGCAATTCAATACATGTGTTGTGTACACACATACACAAATAAATAACACAATAGTTTTAATTTTATAAATAAAGTGATAAACAAACTCCCAAAGGAAAATGCTAAAAATTGATGCTGACTGTGAGATAAAAAAAAAAAAAGTGGTTTGCATTTTTCTGGTACTAACTGGTAATTCTCAGCAACAAGAAAATCTAGAAGATGTCAGAAGTACCATGTAACAGATGAATATCCCTCCCCCCACCCATGGTGTGAAGGACCCTTGCTGTGAACAGGAGCCATATGCAGTCACTACTTGGACAACCTACTTCCTCTGGGCTTGTCACCATGCCAGAATTTAACAAGGGTGAGAAAAGTGTTCAGTGTTGGCAAAGATACACTCAGTAAAATGCAGCTATTTATCACCTAAGGTGCTTTTCTTGTTTTGAGCCGGGATTTGGGTTTGTAGCCTAGGCTAGCCTTGAACTTCCAATCCTCCTTAGCCCAGAGTGCTGGTATTACAGGTGTGGGCCACCCCACTGACTTTGAGTGTAGGAATATGACTCAATCTCTGAGAAGCAGAACATCCCACAAGCTGATTTTTCAGAAAATTGGCTTTTAGCAAATGAGTCCTTATGCAGAATGGTCATTAGGCAAATTCGTCATTTAGCCAAGAGGTCATTTAGTGAATCGGCTTTCAATGACTTGCCCTCTGAAAGTTTGCTACAGCGAGCATTTTCTTGTGCTAAATGTCCATTTGATTTCCATAATTAATATTCACTGGAGCATGGATGGGAAACTTCCCAGGGACCCAGGAGCAACCAGGACAGACTTCTAATAATCAGACTATTAAAAATGCTCTCATAAAAATAAAAAAAAAATTAAAAAAAAAAACAGGATCAAAGATGCAGGGTGTTTGGGGGCTTCCTGAAACACAGCTATCAGGCTTAGTGTTGTGACAAAAGGTATCAGGGTCCTGTTTGTTGTTAGTATAACACATGTAGCCTCTCATTGGAAAAAGAAATGAGTGCTCTTTGGGTTTGGGGTGGTCATGATATTGTTATAAGCCATTGCAATGATATCCTACACTCCACTGGGGGTGCAGTCATGTAAGACCCCAGGATCTAGGTCCAGCTACCTGGTCTCACAGGAAGTGCTCACTTTATCTTATTTTGAGACAGGGTCTCACACAGCCAAGGCTGGCTTCAAATTCCCAATGCAGTTAATAGTGTCCTTGAACTCCTGATCCCCTGCCTCCACCCCCCAAGTGCTGGGACTACAGGTGTGCCACCGCTCTCCTGAGTGAGCAACATCACTAACTGCTACTGTTCTTGAGCTGGGCTCTTGTTATGCAGCCCAGGCTGGCCCTGAACTTTAGATCCTTCTGCCTCAGCTTCCTGAGTTCTGGAATGACAGGTGTATACCACCATGTCCAGCATCATTTGGAAATTCTTGATTTTTTTAAATCAAATCCCCTAGTTCTCTCTTTTTTTTTCAAAGGAGTCCCCAAAGTAATATGGCCAGTTATTTCATTTCTAGGGCTTCGGTCGCCAAGTACCACACCGGGTGGCCTTAAAGAAAGAGATGCCTCGTGTCTCACAAACCTGGAGGTTGGAAGTCCAACACGAAATGCTAGGCTCCCTCCATCTTTGCTTCTAGCTTTTGATGCTACAAGCAGTCCTCAGTGGTGCTCGGCTTGCAGCTGCATCACTCTGAACTCTAAAGCAACGTGGCCACTTTCTTCTGTGCCTTTGATTTTGTGCCCCCCCCCCTATAAGGAGAGTCACTGGTGCCCAGGATGTTCTCTTGTATGTTTTCCTCTTAAGTTGATTATCTCTACAACCACTCTACTTCCAAAAAATATTCACACCCCTAGGAACCAGGGATTAGGAATTCCAGCCTACCTTTGCAAAGGATACAATTCAACCCTTAATACTGGTCCCATCGCAAACCCAAATATTATATAATTGGAGCTGGCACTGTAGCCCAGCTGGCAGAGTGTTTATCTACCATGCCTGAAGCCTTGAGTTCAATGTCCTGCACTGTTTAAAATCATATGCTTGTAATCCTGGTACTTGGGAGGTGAAAACAGAAAGATCAGGAGCTCAAGGCCATCCTCAGCTACCTAGCAAGTTGGAAGCCAGCCTGGGCTGCATGAGACCCTGTCTCAAAAGCGAACAGAATAAAAACAACAAAACCATGGTATAATCCTGGCGTTTCTCTTTGTGTGTTCCAGGACTGAGACCATACACCAAGCTTGCTATATGTATTACACCCGACCCTGTCGAGACTTTAATGCAGCACCTGTCTCCAAAGCTGCGGGGCTTCTTGGATGCTGGAAACAGCCTAAGGAAGGTTGAAACTTTATTTAACCTTAAATCCCATTATAGAGTCTGCATTTGGCACAATTTATATTTGAACTATAAAATTTTTCTGTAAGTTGAAACATGACCTATAAAAGGTCGCTGCACCCTGAAGCAACATTCTAGAGAGAAATCAATTGGTCCTTTTTCTTACAGAAGCCATTAGCCAGAGGAGAGATAAAGGAAAAACTTCCTCATGCTGATTGAACTCCAAACCCAAAGCATAATTTCTAAAAGGCAATGGCTTCGTACAGCTAAAATGCATTAGGCTATTATTAGATAATAGGGAGCCTTTAATATAGCTCGTGCACCTACTGCCTCTTACAGTGGAGGGGCAGGGGCACTCAGATGTGTACCCAGGCCTTGCTCCAGACATCAACATCTGGAATCAGCACTCTGCATGACAGAGGGGGTCTTAGCCTTCCCTTACACCTGAACACATCGCCCCTGTGAGGTTCCCTGGTCCTTACAAGTCCTTCAGTGACTTGGATAATAGTTCGGTTGGCACAGGGCTTGCCTTACAAGCATGAGGATTAGAATGTGATCCCCCAAACTCATTCACACCCGTAACACCAGTGTTAAGCTTTGCGGGGCAGGTACCTCTCTGGGGCTCACTGGCCAGCCAGACTAGCAGTGGGCTCCAGGCCAGTGAGAGGCCCTGCCTCAAACAACCAAGATGAGCAGGAACAACAGTGGAGATGCACGTGTACCCACACACAAGGTCCTTCAGTGACTTGTCCTCCTACCTTCAGATCTAATCAAGACGCAAGGTTTTTGTCACACTCCAAGATAAGATGGCTCTGTAGCCCATGGAGGGTCTTCTCTTGGTCTACTCCTGTCTGTGGTATCAGGAGAGGCTGGACCAGCCTAGGTTTACTAATATTTTAGGAATATATCATGCAGTGTTATTATAATGCCAACTATTGCTCTTTTGTTCTGTAGCAACAGTGATTAATAGCTAATATGGGTGATGTACAAGTATATCTCTGGTTCCCATTTTTTGCATCACCAACTGCAGGCAGAGAGCTGATCAAAATGGCACAGGTAAGCCAGTGTCCCTGAGGCCACCTCTAAAGTCAGCCTTCCTCAATCACCCAGATCCATCCTACTTGTGAGGCCTCAGAATCTCAGGTGACTGCAGCCACGAGTGTGCAATTTAAAAAGCACAGTAATAGTCCAGCATGGTGGCATATGCCTATAATCCTGGGCATTTTGGAGTCTGAGGCAGGAGTATCACTGTAAGTTCGAGGCCAAGATGGGCTACAAAGAGAATACCTAGCCAGGTCTACATAGCAAGACTGTAAAACAAACAAATAAGGCTAGTTAGATAACTCAGTGTACGGTAGAGGAGCTTGCCTAATGACTTGAGTTCAGCCCACATAGTAGAAGGAAAGAACCAAATCCTGCAAGCTGTCCTCTGACTTCCACTGATGTATGGTGAGTCACACACACACACACACACACACACACACACACACACACACACACAAATAAGAAATGTAAAAAAAAATGAAAAGACAAAATCCCACAGAAACAACCACAGCTCACTATATTTAAGTCAACCTAGCTCAAGGAATAAAAGACCAAGCCCTTCTTTATCAGCTGTGCTGGGCTGGCTCCTTGGAGGGTCACAGACCTGACTGCAATCAATTCCCCTCTGTTGTTCTCCTAAACAGGCCTCAGGGGTTTCTCACCCACCTTCTGCAAGCATATTTAACAGGCTAGCTCAGGAAGCTTCCAAATGGAGTTTTTTGAGACATTTGGTAAAGTGAACTGTTCTGCCTTGAACAACAGTGCAGAATCCGGGGGCAGGAGGGGTGGCTTGCCAGCATCCTGCCTTTCAACTCTAGCAAGACGTGTTAACTTTGAAAACTTGGCCACCCGCTGCAGTTAACTCCCACTCTTCGTTGGGATTCTTTTCCTTGCAAGATCAAACGAAACTCCTGCTGGATGTCCCTGAGATTCTGTGCATTTATCTTCAGCGCAGATATTGCTACTATTTTATGTTCCCTCTTGAGGACCCCAGACCCTGGAGAGCAGAGACCACATCGGCTTTATCCCACTGTTGCAGCCCCTGGTCTTGCCAATCATACTGGGGGTGCTTAGTAAGAATTAGATGATGTTGGGTTGCAGACACAAAGGCTGTCATAGACTGAGGGAGTAGACCCCTTTCTGACGGGTCCCAGAGGGCTGTGCTGATGGGGAGGGTGTTGGTAAGGCCGCCCGCACTGATTGAACACGCCGGTGGACCAAGACCAGTATGCAAGATTCGGGAGACTAAGATGACCTGGAGCTGGCCTGGGTGGGCGCGAACTCCGCCCCGCTTCCCGGACCAAAACCGGGAGTGAGACCGGCTCCTAGTGCAGCAAGCAAGGCCGTGCCCTAGCCTACCCGACTCCGCCCCACACTAGGCCACAACCCTGCCCACAGGCTGGCCAGGAGCTCAGCTGAAAGATCCCAGGCCGCGAGCAGCACTTCCGAGATCCGCCTCCGCAACTAGGCGAGCACTTCAGCCCCGCCTCTGGCTGGTCTGAGCCCGCCCCCATATCAGCCAAAGGACCGCCCCCTAAGCTCCGCCCCCCGCCCCATATCCACCTCGGGCCCGCCTTCCAACCTCTAGACTCCGCCCCCAGTTCTGGTCAAGGACCGCCTTCTGAGCCCCGCCCCAGGCCAGTGTAGGCCCCGCCTTCAGAGAGCCAGCTCCAGCACCACCAACTTTTTCAGAACGCGCCCGGGCCGCCGGGCGTCAACCTCTCCCTAAGTCCCGCCTCTCATGACGCGGCAGCTCACGGACCCTGCAGTTTACACCTCGCCTCCGCCCCTGCCGCAACGTACTCTCCGCCCCCAGGGCACCACCTTGCCCCACCTCCTGGGCCGGAGCATTGACTAGCCCCGCCCACAGCTCGCTGCCTCTTTGCCCCGCCTCCTCAGACTCAGGTCTCGCTTCCGCTCGTTTCCAGGCAACACTGGCCCCGCCCCGCGATGGCGCCTGAGGACCACGAGGGGGCCACGTCTCTGCTGCAGAGTTTCGAGCGCCGCTTCCTGGCGGCTCGCGCGCTTCCCTCCTTTCCCTGGCAGGTGGGCGGCGGGCGCGCGGCGGGTGTCGGGGTCGAGCACCGGGAGCTGCGGGGCCGGGCGTCTGGGGCCTCCTTTGCTCGCTGCCGGACCGGGGGAGGCAGGCTGGGCCCTTCTCTAGCAGAACTTGAGGGTCTCGGGCCGGGCTGAATTCTTTTAGCGACTTTTTAAGCCATTGATCGGTCATCTTGGCGACTGCAAAACAGCTTTGAAAACTAAATGTCTTCAGACGGCTGGAGCCGCGCTCTCCTCAAGGGGAGGCTAGGTCCCATCCGAAGGGCAGGCTGCGGGCAGAACCATCTCCGAGGGAGTTCAGACCGAAAGGGAACCTTCAGGCGATCTGGGGACTTGCAACTCGGGCACGAGGCTCCTTTGGAGCGTGCCTTGTTGATAATTCGTGTGCAAGGAGTTCACCAGCATGAGTCTCTTTAAATTTTTATTTCTCCAGAGTCTGCCCGGTTTATTTGGGTGGTTTACACAGTTGTGTTATTTCATCGACATAAAACATTCTGGTCTTAACACAGAATGAAACGCTAATAGCTTATAGGTCCCCATTCAGTTGCTCAGGGTCGCGCACAGTGGGGTCTGTTGTCACTCCGTTTAAGAAGGAAAGCTGGCCAGTGAGACCCAGGGATCCTCCTGTCTCCACCTCACCAGTGTTAGCATTACAAGTTTGCACTTCCAAGCACATCTTTTAAAAATCAGTTCTAGGGCCGGGCGGTGGTGGCACACACCTTTAATCCCAGCACTTGGAAGGCAGAGGTGGGCGGATCTCTGAGTTCAAGGCCAGCCTGGTCTACAAAGCAAGCTCTAGAACAGGCTCCAAAGCTACACACCTTGTCTCAAAAAAAAAAAAAAAAAAAAGGAAAGGAAAGGATCAGAGCCATAATTCTGACCTAGGAGACCAGCTTCCTGTTTAGAATCTTAGCTCAAAGCCAGGAGGTGGCACATACCTATTGTTGTGCCCAGATTAGGACCCCCAAAGAAACCACCGTAGACCAAAGATGTCCAGACTTCAATAGCAAGGTTTACTTCTTGGTGCAATACAAGCTAGCAGGGAGCCCTCATCCGCAGCACCCGGCTAATCGAGGCACGGAGGAGAGTTCCTCTTTCTTGGGGAGGTTAGCTTTTAAAGGCAGAAACCACAAAATTCTTCAGAGAGGAGGGGGTTTGTATGGGTCCACCCTTGACTGGTCCAGTTTTCCTGAGCTTGGATTTTATCTTATTTTTTGCCCTGTCAGGAGTTTTACAGCCCATCTCCAAAATCTGGTCCTGTTACCTCAGGGGACCGGGACGTCTCATGGTTAGTTACCACCAGACAGTCTGATTTTGTACTTTTAAAACTTCTGACTTCACCATGTCTGGGAATGAGGAACTGACTCGGTTCTGGCTATTTTAAGATGTCCTTTTCCTCAGCTCTCCAGGCCTTAGGGGGAACTGGAGTGGGGGGTCTCTCACCTATAATCCCAGCACTCTGGAGGCTGCAGAGGCAGGCTGATCTCAGAGTTTGAGGCCAGCCTGGTCTACAAAAAGAAGAATCCTAGCTCAAACCCCCATGTGCTGTGGAACTTATATACTGTGGGACCCTATGTGTTGTGGGACTTTATGCAGTGGCTACATCTCTGTGCCATCATTTCTAATTAGCACAGTGGAGGATACAATGTCTCTTGCTACCAAACAGCTGGGCTTCTTTTCCTTTGCCCAGCTAGAAATCATAGGTAGCAAGAAGCTCAGGGCTTGCTGGTCTCTGGTGGCTGTGTTTTCTTGTGCCAGCTGTAGGCAGGCAAGAGCAGCAGCCGCAGGTTTCTTGCTTATGGGGCGCCCTTGGTCCTTGTGGACCTCTGGAGTTCTTGGGGCGTTTTGTATGCAAGCTTCCCGGCAGGCCTGGGTATTGGGTATTGGATTTCCCCTGGCAGCAGCTCTTACAGCTCTTGTGCAGCCCTTGGAAGTGGGGATTTCTTAGCTCTTGGCCAAGGCCAGCTGCCTGGCTGCATTTACAATTCTGCCAGCCACTGTTGTGCTGTCTCTGGGTCTGCTTTCTCCATGTCACCAGCTCAGCCTGCACTACTAAAGTGAGCAAGCAAAGATCGTTCCCAGGAGGGCTCTTGGTAGTCCACTCCCTCCTTGAGCCACAGCAGCAGGTTATGTAGGTGTCTGAACCAGTCACAGCCTTGCCACTTAGGGCCATCCCTCCACTAGGCCACCAGGGGGCGTGCTCCCCATATGTCCTGCACCAAAATGGGTGCAAAGTAAGTGTGTACCCAGGCTTATGACAGGAAAAAGTCTGGCGCAAAGTGTTTCAGACAGCCCTGGATGAGGCTGCACTTTCAGGAGCCATGCGAATCAGCTGGGGTTGTCTAAAGGTGTTTATGGAGTGTTCAGACAGCCAAGGCTGACATAAGGGCAGTCCTGCTAGCTGTCTGACTGATAGTCCTTTTTGCTTACGGCAGCCAGGGCAGGAAGGGAGTCCAACAGCTCCAAATTAGGGGGTCACGCTTCCGCCATCCCCTAAGCCTTTCCTTATTTATAGGAAAATGAACATAAGAATGCTAACACCAAGAGCCTGAAGACCTTACCATGAACAGTAATTGAGGATTTAACAGCCTTAGCACTGTGGCTCCGAGATAGACAGCCCCTCCTACATCTCACTCTGTGGGAGTACTTGAAGACAAACCCCAGCTCCTCGTTCCTGGCTGTGGAAGTGCACTGAGTGGGGCCTAGCAGTTACTGAGTCACTAAATATTCACTGTCTATGAGGTGCACACCAGGGTACATCAGAGCACATTAGAGACCAGCCCTGCTCAGACGAGAGACTGTAAATAACCAGGAAAGACCAGGCAAGACCGTGTGTGGGAGCCAACCTCAGCTTGGGGAGCTAGAGCAGGAGGACCTCTGTGAGTCAGAGGCCACTGTCTCAAAAGAATAAAACAAGCAAGGAAATGGTGAATAGAGTCATCAAAGGCCCCCCAAAAGAGGCAGCATTTGAATTGTTACCTGAGCCCTGAAATAGTCGGCCATAGGACGGTCTTGGCAAACAGGAAGCAAAGGTCTTATGATAGAAACATGGCCACCGTGATTAAGAACAGTAGAGGAGCTGGTATGGCTGTAGTCCTGTGAGCAGGGATGAGACTGGGTGTAGATGAGGTCAGAAAAGGATCAAGGCAGGTCTTAGAGGACCTGTTAGGACATAGTAAAATGCTCTGAAGACACGAAGTGGCCTTGCTGTGTGTCCCATACCTGCTGTGACTGGAGCTGGAGTCCCTGTGAGAAAGCTGACGTGGCCAGGCTTGGCACCACACCTCATAGTCCTCCTTCCAGCTTAAGTGACAGGTTCCAGGCTGTAACTGATGGTTAACTCACCAGCTCAGCTGCAAAGTTACTGTGTCCCTGGTGACTGCAGGACAGCCAGAGCTGACGGAAATCAGACACACATGGCCCGTGACATCAGACTGAGAGTTCACCTCTAGTAGCTTCCACTTCAGATTGGTTCCAAGTCCCTGGGCAGAGATTACTGAGCTCTTTACCAGAATGTCCCACAGCAGTGTAAGATTGCTGAGAAAATGCCCCCTAGGATTTATCTCTCTCTTTCTCCTTGGAACAGAGCCTAGAAGAGAAATTAAGGGAGCCCTTGGGTTCTGAGCTGCTGCTGGCTATTCTGCAGAAGGTAAGAGCCCCAGCATCCCCAGAGAGCAGAGCCAAAGCCCACCTGTATCCTTTCCAAACACATAGTCCAAAGAACAAGATATAGCGTTTGTGTAGACACTGCACATGGGCGTCAGCTCCTCAGTCAGCTCTGGCTGTTTGGTTTTAGTGGATAAAGATATTCGAATAAACAACTGCACAAGATGAGGGAAGCTAAGGGATGTCTTTTTTTATTTTTTAAGACTGTATCTCTTTGGAGTGCTATTATGCCATTTTTTTTCTAAATGGCTAACTTTTGGGTTTTGTTTTGTTTTTTTAATATGTGTGTGGGTGTTTGCCTTTGTGTATGTCTGTGAAACACATGCATACAATGTCCTTGGAGGCCAGAAAAGGGTGTCAGATCCCTAGGACTGGAGTTACAGTTGTGAGCCATCATGTGGGTGCCAGGACTCAAACCTGTGTCCCTTGGAAGAGCAGCCAGTGCTCAGCCACTGAGCCATCTCTCCATCCCATGCACCTTGGGAAGTCTTGAAACACAGGGATAAATGACAAGTGACTGCTTCCAGAATGTGTTAGCTGCTTTGGAATGTTCTTCACATTTAAGGCAAAAAATAAGAAAGCTCATCTTGCCTGTTCAGGATCAGAGGCAGAGGTGGCATATGCCTGTGGGTAGAGGCCTCCTGAATCGAGGGCAGATCACACCACCCTGTCCTGGGCCTTGACTTTCCTAAGGGTCCTGACCCTCGGCAGGAAAAAACTGTAGTCTTCCTCCCCAGAAGGAAATCACCAGAGGAGCATATTTGCTTACAAATTCAAGGAAAACACAGACATTTGTCCCCAGCCACCAAGCCCACCCTAGGAGTCTAAGCCAGGAATTCTGTGCTGAATCAGGGCCAATTCAAAGTCAGCCTGAACTATACTGAGAGACCCTGTTATCAGAAAGGAAGATAAAGGGGGAAAGGAAGGAGGAAACAGCCAGGCTTTGTCTTACAGCCTTCCACGAGTAACCCAACAAATATTAGAGCATACTGCTTAAAGATCCCAGGGGTTACCCACCGATGAACCCTCAGTAGGAAGTTCTGGGGGACTTACGGGGATCCTGTGGTCCTTCCAATGCAGCAAGCTACACCTCTCTCCAGGCCCCTTCCCATCTCCTACTTCCCGCTGGTCCTCGGACCTCCTTTCAAAACTTCCAGGCCAGAGCCACCTGGGAGCCACCCTTTTGCTCTCTGTGGTGGAGACCCTGCTT